ATAACTTTGCAGGAAACTTTTATGATGCATGATGATGCTGTTCTCTCTGTTGATTTTAGTAGAGACTCTGAGATGCTTGCATCTGGATCACAAGATGGAAAAATAAAGGTGAAGCTTCCTTTCATTTTCGGCTTTAATGTGAATCGTCACCTGTAGCTTTGTCTTTTAATTTCTCGAACATCTAAAAAGAGGGAAGAAAAGAAGAATCTAACCCTTGTTTGAGCCCCTTTTTTTAAGAAAAACCAGTTTTGTAATCGTGATTTTTGGAAAATGTGTGGTTAAAAAGTAAGGAAAAGTTTTTGGTTTACGTGTTAAAATTATTATATGGGAGTGTTTGAAAATGAGTTTTAGTAAAAATGGGGCTCAAACAGGGCTTAGACTTATTCAACACAAAAAATAAAAGAAAGAACTTAAAGAGTTTAGAGGATATTACTTTTAGGTGAGTTATTATCATCTTAATGGTATTTTTCGTATAGCCGGGGAGTATAATGGCATCCACTCTAATGTGTTGCAATGTTTTTAAAAACTATCAAGTGGCTTGTATTAATATTAAACAATTTGGCATTCACAATTGCAAATGTATTAGCAGCTTTAGTTCTCATCTGTTTGAATATAGGTTTGGCGTATTAGGACTGGTCAATGCTTGCGCAGGCTGGAGCGTGCTCATTCCCAGGGTGTCACTAGCCTTGTTTTTTCACGAGATGGAACTCAGTTGTTAAGTACATCATTTGACAGCACAGCAAGGTTTGGACTCTTAAAGTTGGCTGAGAACACTATAAATATAGAGAATAATTTTTTTTTAAATATTTCAACAACCTCTTTATCTTTAACACTTAATTTTACTACTCACAATATGTATTTATTATTTTCCCTATCTTTTATTTTAACTAACTTCCCTCCAAATTATTATATTATCTCTCTCCATTTTCTTTGTATATACTATTTAGTTGGTCAATAAATAGCGAATTGAAAATTTGAATATTTTAAATGCATTTAATTGGTTTGGCTTTCCAAATTTAGAGAACCAAACCCATTCTCCACTTTGAAATGTAAATTTGAAGAGGAGACTAATTTTAAGAATTGATTCTTTAAAATAGAAATCATTTCATTTTTAAATAGTCTCCAAGAGTTGCTCTTAGTCTCATGCCTCCTGCTGGCCAAAAGGGAAAAAAATAAAAAAAGATGAGAAAAGAAATTATAGACACTTGGAAAGAGGGTCTTTGTTTACATGATTTTTGCTTTTCATATACTGTACAGAATTCATGGATTAAAGTCGGGCAAGATCTTGAAGGAGTTTCGAGGCCATACATCTTACGTGAACGATGCCATCTTTACGAGTGATGGCTCTCGCATCATCACTGCATCAAGTGATTGCACAGTGAAGGTCAGTTTAACCTAGATATGCATTATCAATTGAAGCCAAACTTTTCAGGTTTATAATTCATCTATGTGCTGAATAAATATGATTGTCTACAGGTTTGGGATTTAAAAACTACAGACTGTCTGCAGACCTTTAAGCCGCCGCCTCCCCTTAGGGTAATTGTCTTCTTGGCATCTCTCAGTGATTGCAGCTCGAATATTTTTGCTTAATTTTAAAATTAATTTTCTCTAACTTTTTCTTTTTAATTTACATTTGAATTTCTTTACTTAATTGCCTCTCTTGTCTCTGTTATCTATAGGGAGGTGATGCATCTGTTAATTCTGTTCATCTTTTCCCTAAGAACACAGATCACATAGTTGTGTGTAACAAGACATCATCAATATACATCATGACGCTCCAGGGGCAGGTAATCATAAATTAGTTTTGATATCTACATACTCTTTACTTCTTGTGCTTCTCCCTCTCTGCATAAGCACCACCTAAAACAGCAGAAATACTGAAAGAAACTAAAGCACTTCTGTTTTTTTGCAAGGAGAGAAAAAAGTATGGAATACAGTGTGATAGTGTTTGGATATTTATCATATTTTGCCCTTGTTTGAGCCCCATTTTTTTGGAACGAATGAATTTTTGAATAGTGTATTGATGGGAAATGAGTGGTTAAAAAATGAGGAAAAATTTTGGATTTGCGTGTAATATTATTTTATTGAAGAATGTGTGGTTGAAATGATGTCAAAACAGTGTTGAAAATTTTATTTTTCTAAAAGAATGGGGCTCAAACAAGGGCTTTGTTTGATGACAATATTTTTTCTTCAGTTTGAGGTAGCACTAATATGATTCTGGCCCTGTATGTGCTAAAACAAATATATAGTGTAAGCATTGCAAATGTACGTGTACATATCAATTTTCTTAAAATTTTGCACTGTCTGGTTTTGATCATGTTACACCATGTGCACCCAGGCTATGCAATCAGTCATGTTGTGATTATACATATGAATATATGCATTTAAAGAAGGTAAATTGCCTCAGCTCCCATGTTGTATTGAATTGGGTACCTTGGATCTTCAGGAAAATAAAATATATTCAATCTTTTTTAGATAGATACTATTGGAAGTTCACTAAGTTAATCAACATATTGAAACTCATTCCGAAAATTAAGATTTGTTTCTTTTTCTGGAACAAATTAAAACAATATTCATTTTAAGATTCAAACTTTTGAATTTCTGCATCATCTTGTAATTTTACAGTGGGTTGTCCTTCGATCCGAAGTTTTTGTCATGAGGGAAATAACTTGGTATTTGGTGGTTATACTGATTAATTTACTTCCATTTTTGAGTTTCTTTTGGATGTTGATGACAAATTTTCTAAAACTGAGGCTTCTCTTACTCTGAGCTGCATCTGATGCCTTTGGTGAAGGTTGTAAAAAGTTTCTCATCTGGTAAAAGAGAAGGTGGAGATTTTGTGGCAGCTTGTGTGTCGCCAAAAGGGGAATGGATTTACTGTGTTGGTGAAGACAGGTGATGGTCAATTAAGTTTTTTATCTGTTCTGGGACTTGTATCTTTCTTTGCACTATCATGTAGATTGATCTTGTTATTGTTAGAAAATTAAATGCTTTAATATGTTACATTCTCTTGTGCCATACAAACTTATTTTCCATATTCTCTGGCAGGGTAGAAAATCTGTAATTCTGGGAAGTTTTCATCGTACATGTTATCTTGTAATTATACTGGTTTATAGTTGAAGTTTCTCCAAAATAAATCTTCAAAAAGTTGTGCTAATCCCTTGAAAGCTGAAAGATGGTATAATTGAAAACGTGAAGAATACTTGACGTGCATCTCGTGTCTGATGTCAGGATAAAATGGAAATCTGAGAATATTTTGTATGGTTGAAAAATTTATGTTCATTTTACTTACGCTCGAGTTGTAATAATTTTGAAACTGAATACGGAATTTCCTTCACTAATGTAATTGATTTACATCTGGTGCAGAAATCTGTACTGCTTCAGTTATCAATCTGGCAAATTAGAGCATTTAATGAAGGTAAAATTCTCGTATAGACATTTGCATGGATTTCTTTTGACGCGGAAATATTATGGTTAAAGTTGTTACTGGTTTTGAATTTGTCTTGCATTACTGACAGGTACATGAGAAGGATGTAATTGGCATCACTCATCATCCCCACATGAACCTCGTGGCCACGTATAGCGAGGACTGCACAATGAAATTGTGGAAGCCATGAACTTTCCCCTACTTTATCCGATATTTTCGAAAATTGCAATTATTTCTCTTGTAGATGCACTATTTGGCTTCCATATGTTTAATTTAATCTTATCGCTCTTACCCTCCCAACTTAAAGGGGGTGTAAACATCAAACTTGTTCTCAAAGAACTTTTACGCTGCTAGCCATTTGTGCTTAAATTCTCAATTACAAAGAAGCAATGTTAGGACTGATCTAGGATGTGGGGTAGATATCTTGGTCACATTTGAAGTGGTCGGGTTTAAGCTAGATGCCGTCTGTATTGAAAAAACAAAGCGAAACTTGTTAGCCAGGAACAAAAATCAATTGACATATTCTGCTTGAAGCGTCTGAAAACATCATCAAAGCAAACATCCTCTTCATGGTAGGTGGATAGTTTCTGCATGGTCTTAGCGAGGTTGCAACTTGCCACTTCATTGACAGATGATTCCTCTATTATAAATTGATTTTCTTAATCGTGCATTCAATTCGATGACCAAATGAAGAAATCAAAGGCATCACTATACTAAACTAATGGATTTAAAAGAGAGAGTATCCAGTTTCATCCCGAAGAAATGCGCAGCCATGAGTTGTTGCGTAGGGTGGAATGTTGTTTTGAAATGCTAAAAGTTGAACTACACAAAAGCTGCCGGTGGTGCCTTGTGGGAAGGCGATGCCCTATGGCCTGTAGTTGGCCTTGGCAAGACTGAGTATGCCGTTGTTGCTATTATCAACTGGCGAGGCCTTTAAACCGTGAACCTGTTACACGAAAAAAAATAAATAAATAAATAAAAATTTGGTATATCAATTAAGTGACCAACCTTCCTACTCGTAAGTACATTTTCCCTGCTGCTCCAAAATTTTCATGGAGTTAAATTTTGTATTTATTATTGTATAGTTTGAGATATTGTGACTACCAAATATTCTTGCTTAAACCTCCTCTTATGTTGTTTCCTTGATTTACTTATTAATAGCACTTGCTCTCATTTTGCACATATGATACTTATCAGTGTCTACTCGGGAATGGCATATACACAAACTTTCGTTGGTTAAGTTCTCATAGCACTCAATTGAATCATATCTTCACTGTGCCATCATTCCTTCATTTCTTACCTGTAAGCATTTCCTTTCCATATATTATATTAAACTTACGTCCTTGCCTATTCTTTATTAATAATGCAGTGCATTTTATCAATATTGTAACGTATCTTTTGAAGTTTAATAGCAATCTCAAAACACTCGTATCGTTTTAATCAGGCTAAAACCACCTGTATATTTCTAGTTCTGGTTCCTCTGATAGCCTTTTGCATCAGATGCATAATGGGTGCCTTCTCGAAATAGCCCGGATATTTTCAGTTAGTACGTCATTTGTTTCTTAAAACATCAGAAGAGAATGATGAATTGATGATCATTTTCACTTGTAATCTTTTTACTTTTGACACACACATCAATTGGAATGAAATTGAATAATAAAAGGCAAATAAAACCCTAAGTCCCTCTTCAATTTACCTCAACTGGCAATAAACATCTGTTCATGAAGAGAATCGCAATTATACTACGGTAAAATTTCACAGCAGAATCAACTAAATCTCTATGGACAGAAAGGTCTAGCCAGGCCTACCCTGTGACTTGGTATGGTGAAATGCCTTATCTTTCCTTCTTCTTCTCTCAAGTACCGTTCACACAGAAAGGTCTTTGAGAATTTATCCTCCACTACCCTATCCACATCGTGCACAAATACATCAGTCTCACCGTTTTCCCTATTCCTAGCCATCAATCCAGCTGTATAAATTGCCTTCATCCTCCCCGGTGCCCCATCATGATATCCGGTTGGCGCATCCACCATGATTAAATCCCATTCTATATCATACACTTCATTAGGCAAGTCCTTTAGAGCAAGTTGACATTTTGAAAATCTAGGATCACTCACAACTTCACATTCTTCTTTTGTGCCAATTTCCAAGAGTTCACCAGCTTGAGTGACCTTAGTGTCATACACTACATGATATGATTCTAAGGATGGTAACTGCTGCTTGATCTGTTCTATCCATGCCTTGTCTTCTTCGAGGAAAACTGTGCGGCCACCATAGTTGAGTACAGTCCACATAAGGCTGTCGTGGCCTAATCCGAAGACTAAAAAATTGCAGGGCGACTTCTTGTCAAGTATTCTTTGGGATACTGAGATTTCTTTGGGAGTTTGTTGCGGCGTGATGTTAGAGGTTGCATAGTGAACCAGAGCGTGAGCTAAAGAAGGGGTTATTTTGGTGCAAGCTGGTGATAGAGGAGTAGTTAGACAACTTCTTGACTGTTTTTCTTCGAGAAAATCTGAGTTTTTGGGAGGTGTTGATGAAGAAATTTGCAGGGAAGATTGGAAACTTGATCCAAATATCAATAAGAGAAGAAAACAAAAGAAAAATAAAAATAAAATGGGGATGAGCTTGAGATTATTTAGGTAATGAGCTGCAGCTCTCATGTTTCTTTTTTTCTGAGGGTAAAGAGAGATTTTTAGGCGATTTGGAAAGTGGGATATTAGGGATCTGAGTGCATCAAGACTTGAAGAAGCTGACCGGGGAGAAAGAAAGCGTTTTCACTCAAATTTTGTACCTTTTTCCCTCGATTGAAGCAAATCATGAGGGTTGATGTTTCCATTTTGGAAGACAAATGTCCATTAGTGAATAAATGTTTTACCATAAAGTAGGTCCTAAACACAGATATTTTTATTCAATAAATTAAGGTAACCATGTACTGGCATGGATACATAAATTTGTCCAGTAACTTAGTGTTTGGTGAATGCATTTCTTTCTTTATTTTGTATCCCATGTGATTAGTTAGTCACTTTTTATGCTAAGAATATCTACATATCAAAATTTTCCTATCTCGAAATATTGGAATATCAAATTACAGATTCGGATTTTAGATATCTCAATAACTGAAACAATAACGTCATTCATTGCCTATGGGGCCTTAGACCTTCATTTTTTCAACAATACATTATCCCATAAAATAATTTTGTACGTGAACCCAATTTTTTTTTAAATTTTTAACCATACATTTTTCACCCAAAAATGGGGCTGAGTATTACCAAGCAAAACAGTCTTCATAGACTAAATAAAGGTAACTTGTCTACCTTCTGATAAGTGAACGCTTGGGCAAACAATATCAAAGCAAAGTGGGAAAATACAAGAAAAGTCTCAGATAAAAGAAAGAAAAAGGTAAAAGACCTCGGCACATCACCTCTTCTACGGACAGAAAGGTGTACGAGAAGAAGCAATAGTACGATGACTAGGAATGTTAAAATGTCTCAATCTCCCAATTTCCTCAGTAATGTAAGCATCACAGAGAAAAGCCCTGGAGAAGGTGTCCTCCACTTTCCTTTCAATATCGTGCACAAAAACATCTGTCTCTCCATCTTCTTTATTCTTGGCCAATAACCCTACTGTGTATATGGTATTCATCCTCCCTGGTCCTCGATTATAGCTTCCTACCGGCGCATCCACCATAATTACGTCCCATTCTGTTTCATACACTATTCTTGGAAAATTCTTTATAGCAAGTGGACATTTCGAAGATCTTGGATCACCCACCACTTTACATTCTTCTGACTTGCCTTTATATAACAACTCATCAGCCTGTTTGATATCGGTCTCATAGGAAACATGGTAAATTTCCAGTGACGGCATTTGCTTTTTGACCATTTTCATCCAATTCTTGTCATCCTCGAGAAACACGGTTCTCCCCCTATGATTGAGTGATGCCCACAAGAGACTGTCAAAGCCAAGCCCGAAAACCAAGAAATTGCACGGTGATTTCTTTTCGAGGACTCTCAACGTTCTAGAGACTTCGTACAAGTCTTGTTGGGGTGTCACGTTTGTAGTTGCATAGTGAACAAGGGATGTGGCTAGAGAGGGAGGAATTTTGTTGCAAATCGATAAGAATGACGGATATGATGATCTTTTGATTGGCTGGAAAGATGAATAATTCGATCTGAGAATCACATAGAGAACTAAGAGAAAGAAAAAGGAGAGGACCATAAGCTTAAGGTTGATCAAGGAAGGCTGGTTCTTGGACTTCATGTTTCTTGACAAGTAGATTGTTGAAGACTATAAATCCTTGCTAATTTGCTCGATTGAAACATTACTTATAGAAGAACAAGGTCCTTGCAAATAAATGGCAAGATTTATTTCTCCATTCAGAGAAATGAAAACCATATGATATTTTGCTTGCCTAAACCACAAGGAGAAATTTTTTTGAGAATTAAATTTTGTTCCTAGTGGAGGAAAAAATATCCTCTACAAATAAACGTGGAAAATGATCAGAGAATAAAAAAATTTTGAAAAAACAACGTGCAAAAATATCTCCACCATATTCTTATCATGTACAAATACATCACGTATCAGCTAGAAGGGGTAGACATCCATAGAAGGGAAAATAACTTTCCAAGTATATGTAATTTTGTAGTGTTCATTAGCTCAAATATAACAATAGTAATTGATCATTAGAAACACGCGTGCGCACGCACATATATATATATAGACACACACACGGATGCCTCAAGTGTCAGTCCTCAAAAAATCCACATCTCAAAGAGGAGAGGAGAAGTATAGAATCAAAGCAAGCCTCCAAAATTATCCCAACTAATATATAGCTATGCATCTTGAGCTTCAAAATCCTTCAGAACTCATGTTCTAGAGCTATCAGCTAGGGAATCCATAAGTAAACACAATGCACGAACAAAAAATTAAGTATCATTAAATGCATTTCATGGCATTGTAAAAGTTATTTCCTTAGTTATTGATATTCTTATATATGTTAATGCTACTTGATATTCTTATATACGTTAATGCTACATTCGATTTAGACCACTGTATAATACTATCAAATTTTTATTTATAAGCCTAACAAATGTGTGAATATTATCTTGTTTCATTAAAGAATGGTAAGTGAATAATTTCAACTTATTTGATAAAGTGTACTAATTAACCAAGGAACAATAAACAACGTCCTTTTCTTAATAAATTAAGAATAGAAATCGTAGTGTCAAAATTAGCCGACAACATATGAGGGTTGATGTTTTCATTTTGGAAGACAGATGTTTATTAGTGAATAGATGTTTTACCATAAAGTAGGTCATAAACACAGAGATTTTTATTAAATAAATTAGGGCAACCCTGTGCTGGCACGAATACGTATATTTGTCCAGTAACTTAGTGTTTGGTTAATGCATTTCTTTCTTTATTGTGTATCCCATGTGATTAGTTAGTCACTTTTTATGCTATGAATATCTACATATCAAACTTTTCCTATCTCGAAATATTGGAATATCAAATTACATATTCGGATTTTTGATATCTCAATAACTGAAACAATAACGTCATTAATTGCTTATGGGGCCTTTGTCGTTCATTTTTTCAACAATACATTATCCCATAAAATAATTTTGCACATGAACTCAAAATTTTTTGTTAATTTTTAACCAAATATTTTTTACCCAAAAATGGGGCTGAATATTACCAAACAAAACAATCTTTATAGACCAAACAGAGGTAACCTGTCTACCTTCTGATAAGTGAACGCTTGAGCAAACAATATCAAAGCAAAGTGGAAAAATGCAAGAAAAGCCCTAGATAAAAGAAAGAAAAAGGTAAAACACCTCGGCACATCACCTCCTCTACGAACAGAAAGGTGTATGAGAAGAAGCAATAGTACGGTGACTTGGAATGTTAAAATGTTTCAATCTCCCAATTTCCTCAGTAATGTAAGCATCACAGAGAAAAGCCCTGGAGAAGGTGTCCTCCACTTTCCTTTCAATATCGTGCACAAAAACATCTGTCTCTCCATCTTCTTTATTCTTGGCCAATAACCCTACTGTGTATATGGTATTCATCCTCCCTGGTCCTCGATTATAGCTTCCTACCGGCGCGTCCACCATAATTACATCCCATTCTGTTTCATACACTATACTTGGAAAATTCTTTATAGCAAGTGGGAATTTCGAAGATTTTGGATCACCCACAACTTTACATTCTTCTGACTTGCCTTTATATAACAACTCATCAGCCTGTTTGATATCGGTCTCATAGGAAACATGGTAAATTTCCAGTGATAGCATTTGCTTTTTGACCATTTTCATCCAATTCTTGTCATCCTCGAGAAACACGGTTCTCCCCCTATGATTGAGTGATGCCCACAAGAGACTGTCAAAGCCAAGCCCGAAAACCAAGAAATTGCACGATGATTTCTTTTCGAGGACTCTCAACGTTCTAGAGACTTCGTACAAGTCTTGTTGGGGTGTCACGTTTGTAGTTGCATAGTGAACAAGGGATGTGGCTAGAGAGGGAGGAATTTTTTGCAAATCGATAAGAATGACGGATATGATGATCTTTTGATTGGCTGGAAAGATGAATAATTCGATCTGAGAATCACATAGAGAACTAAGAGAAAGAAAAAGGAGAAGACCATAAGCTTAAGGTTGATCAAGGAAGGTTGGTTCTTGGACTTCATGTTTCTTGACAAGTAGATTGTTGAAGACTATAAATCCCTGCTAATTTGCTCGATTGAAACATTACTTATAGAAGAACAAGGTCCTTGCAAATAAATGGCAATATTTATTTCTCCATTCAGAGAAATGAAAACCATATGATATTTTGCTTGCCTAAACCACAAGGAGAAATTTTTTTGAGAATTAAATTTCGTTCCTAGTGGAGGAAAAAATATCCTCTACAAATAAACGTGGAAAATGATCAGAGAATAAAAAAAAATTTGAAAAAACAACGTGCAAAAATATCTCCACCATATTCTTATCATGTACTAATACATCACGTATCAGCTAGAAAGGGTAGACATCCATAGAAGGGAAAATAACTTTCCAAGTATATGTGATTTTGTAGTGTTCATTAGTTTAAATATAACGATAGTAATTGATCATTAGAAATACGCGCGCGCGAGCATATATATATAAATATATAGACACACACGGATGCCTCAAGCGCCTGTTGTCAAAAAATCCACATCTCAAAGAGGAGAGGAGAAGCATAGAATCAAAGCAAGCCTCCAAAGCATAGCCCCAACTAATATATAGCTATGTATCTTGAGCTTCAGAATCCTTCAGAGCTCATGTTCCAGAGCTATCAGCTAGGGAATCCATAAGTAAACACATTGCACGAACACAAAATTTTGTATCATTAAATGCATTTCATGGCATTGTAAAAGTTATTTCCTTAGTAATTGATATTCTTATATACGTTAATGCTACATTCGATTTAGACCACTGTATAATACTATCAATTTTTTATTTATAAGCCTAACAAATGGGTGAATATTATCTTGTTTCATTAAAGAATGGTAAGTGAATAATTTCAACTTATTTGATAAAGTTAACCACGGAACAATAAACAACGTCCTTTTCTTAATAAATCAAGAATAGAAATCGTAGTGTCAAAATTAGCCGACAACATATGAGGGTTGATGTTTTCATTTTGGAAGACAGATGTTTATTAGCAAATAGATGTTTTACCATAAAGTAGGTCATAAACACAGAGATTTTTATTCAATAAATTAGGGCAACCATGTGCTGGCACGGATACGTATATTTGTCCAGTAACTTAGTGTTTGGTTAATGCATTTCTTTCTTTATTGTGTATCCCATGTGATTAGTGAGTCACTTTTTATGCTATGAATATC